ATAGAAATTGACAAAACTTCATTTGGAAGGGTTTTTGGTATTTGTTAATAGTATTTAGGGAATTGATACCCATCAATTTGGAAAATCCTTTGTAGCTATTAAGTGAATGTTAATAAGTGTTCTACCCTGAGTGGTAATTTGAGATCCTATCTATTCATAAGTCAAGCTTGGAGGCTGAGAATAGCTAGAAAAAAAGTAACATCATAAATGAGAAATAGTCTTAATTCTGTAGTAGAGTGAAGTGATCTTTACAATTTTTTTTCTTTTATGGAGTTGAGTCATTTCTGATGGTAAGAATTGACCTTCAACTGGCAGGCATTTTAGTGAGCAAAAATTAGTGTTACTGAAAAAAAGTAAGTCAAACTTTTATGATAGATGTCTGGATTGGGGGCCTGCAGCCTGTTTTTGTAACTATACTGCGACCCAGCTATGCTTATGTGTTTGCATATATTGTATGGCTGTTTTTGCACCATGACAAAGTAGTTAAGAAGAACTATAAAGCCTAAAATACTTGCTATCCGAACTTTTACAGAAAAAGTTTGCTGACCTCTGATCTAAATTAGTGAGTTTGTGTTGGGGTTATTTTATGTAACTATTGCACATCAAAACTTTAAAAAGGAGTTAGTACTGATTGGATTAAAAACCTACACTTTAAGGTTTGTTTGCATTGGCTAATGTAAAGCTATCATTTTTATTCTTTATAATGTTAGTGTTAACCCTGCTCCATGACTTGATAGATTTAATTAGTAGAAAACAAGGAGAGACTAAAGCTGTATTCGGGTTTAATTCTTTGCCTTCAGTAATGTTTTAAATTTGGGGGTTGATTTATTCCCACTTGACTTTTTATGAAAGTTATACTTGCACAGTTAAGGAAATACAACACTTAGAACTTGATTTTTATACTATGTTTCCATATATTCTAAGTCACATTTGAAATGGCTATAATGAGATCCATTTCAGGCATTTCTTGACCTAGATGAATATTTTTGTGTATACCAGGCTCTAATTCATTTTCAAACTTGCACAGAATTGGAAAATTCTCCCTTTATACAAATCCATTTATCAGCTTCATGTTTTTCTTGGGTCTTCTATATTCCAATCTGAACTCATTGCCCTTTAGAATTGAATACCTTGAGTTGGGGCTTTGTTATTGTGAGGGGTCCCTTTGCCTGTCGATTTAGACCCTTCATTTCCTGAATCCCAGAGTTTTCATTTTGTGCAGCTCATCTTTTGAGACCATGTCTAAAAGGGTCTGTTTCACTCTGGATTAGTAGTTTGGCTAGGTAGAGAATTCTAGATTTAGTGAAGAAATTTGATGCTATCTTGATTCTTGATCATTCACATGAAATATTTTTACTCTGAAATAGCTTAGGGTTTTCTATCTGTCACCAGTGTTCTCAAGTATGACTGCTGGATACCCAGTGGGTTCTGTTACTGTGTAAACTTGCTCTTTAATTTCTGGGAAATATTATGGACTGATTATTTTCCTTATCCCCTTCACCACCACAATCTGTTCTCTGCTATTGTTATTGGTGTGAGCCCTGGACATCTATTTTCCTATTTTCCATTGCAGTCTGTTCACACTTTGTAATTTTCACAACTTAATCTTTCAGCTTTTTAAAGTTTTAAATCTCATCTCTAATTTCTAAGACCTTCGTCTGCCAATCTGTTATAAACAGCAACCTGTTCCTACATGGATACATTCATTATCTGTACAAGGTTAACCTCGTCTGTAAGATTTCCTCCAAGATGCTTTACTTGGCGTGTTGCTTTGGCGCCTTCTTTTCATGGTAGAGATTTTCCTCAAATGTTGGGTGGCTCTTGGCTCACATTTAGGAGTGGAGTATTTTAAAAGCTAATTGGATGTGAATTAGGCTGGGAGGTGGGAACTTGTCAACCATGGGGTTCACTATTGGGTGATCTGGCTGTGTCATTTTGAGGAACCCCTTGATACTTTTTTTTTTCTTTTCTTTAAACCCCTGAACTGGTCATGTTCACCAGAGAAGTCTTTCTGTTCTGCTACCTTGAAGGGTAAAAACTGGCTGCCAGTATTCTGGTATCCCAGTGGGGGGAAATCTCAGGAATCAGAACAAGTAAACTGCTTTTAGTTGTTTTTTGTTTTTTCATCACTATGCCTGAGTCCAAAGATCACCCTCTCGAGATGATCTCGTTTTTTGCCAGGATGGAGTTCAATTGTCCAACAGTATAGAGGATCTGGGGGTTTAACTGCCTGTGAGACAGACCAACCAATCCTGTTTTAGTCGCTTCCATTTCTGAAGATGCCTGGGCTGCCAATTGCTAACAAGCCTTTGGGGGGCAAGGAGTGTTCTGTGGTATAAGCTCAGATATCTATGCTACAGACAATACTCAGTTTTGTCTGCCTACTCAATCCCCATTTGTTCATTAGCTTTGCAGCTTTCAAAGTTTGCTGTTGTCTCCTCTTCCATTCTTTGTCTTGATGGTTTCTTATGTTGTGCCCCCTCCTTAAGTACTGAGCTTTAGTAGGATTTCCAAAGGGACTAGAAGTGATATATGGTCTATTTTTAGCAGCCTTTATTGTGTGCGGTTGGTGATGGAAGATTTAGAGAACAAAGAAGGACATGTAAATTAAAATACAGGTAGCTCAGTACTCTTAAGATTTTGGCCAATAAAGTTCATAAGTAGTTTGCTCGTTTATTATAGAATTGATCCCTGTTTATTAAGGGGCAGTGTTAGGTAACTGATTTCAATTCTCCCATCAATTTTGTACCCTTGTTAGAGCTACCAGTCCCATTTCATTTCAAGTAGCGTGTGAATTTTCTAGGTCTGCTGTCCTAATTCAAATTTTGATACCTTTTGGTTTACTAGATGCCTGCTGAGAGGTGAGTTAATCTCTTCCCGGGGTTCTGGGTTTCCTCTTATTCCTTTCTTAACGTTTGTATTGTAAGATTCCAAATCTTGTTACCATGTTAACTTCTCATGGGAATGGTAATTGCTTCATTGTTCTTTGTTGGTCACAAGTATTAGAATACAGTGTATGGAACACCTGTCCAGGTGTCATTCATGCTGAGATAAGTTTGAAAGATAGTTTCACTAATAACATGAGGACATAACTAGGCCTTTGCGTTCTGTACTTTAGTCTGCTTTTATTGTTTTACTGCTTGGAAAAGTTTTTTGACGGTATCTTGTACTTTAAAAAAAGGTACTATAGGCTTACTTAGAGCCTTGAGCTATTGGGAATTTAGAAAACCAGGGCTGAACCCACTATCCACCACAATGTTTGTGTTGGTCCTGAAATGTATGAGTTTATTTGGTTTGAGGTCATCTTAACCTCAAATGTCAAAATCTAGATCCATGCATAATAAATACACTGACACGTCTCAGTAAATTTCTTTGGGAGGACTAATAGAGTTTATCAGTGTGCTAACATTTAAGGATGATCCCAAGCTATTATGTGAATTTTTTATTTTTTTTTAGTCTTCACTACTGGCCATATTTATTTAGTTTAGGGAGACTAGCCTGAAAATTCTATGGGTAAAAATGATTCTAGCAAGATGAATATTGAGTTGTGCAAATTGAGTCAGCCTGGCCTGTTTAATTGCTGTCAGTTGCTTATCTGGAAAATTGGGGAAGTGATGATAATCTGGTTTGCATTTCAAAGAGGACTGTAGACCATTTACATCAGAATCATTTAATCAGAATTGTTTGGGGGTGTTTCCTGGGTTTCTCTGTTTGACACACCCCCAAGTGATCTTAGCTACACTAAAGTTTTAAGGTCTGTGGCTTTAAGATAGTTACAGTTAAACATATTGTTTCAGTAAGGATTGTTTTTATTGTAAAGACAACGTGTTTCATAAAACTTTGACCTCAAGCATTTTAATCATGGACTCATGTCTAGCTTGAAAGGAAAAATCATAAAAGACAGCATTGTAATGAGTGTACAAGATGACTGAGCAAATGTACCAAGTGGGGAAAGGGATGTGGTGGGGGTGGCTTATAGGCTGGAAACATGATGAGTTGGTTTTATAATGTTTTAATTCTCTACAGGCAATACACTCCCCTTATTGCCTGCATATTGCTCCCTTTGTCACTGATCTCACTCATCCATTATGGGTTGGTAATCAGCAACTGATCAAAATTGACTTTTGCAGTTGTCTTGAGTTGGGCTAGTTAAAATATTGCCCTGTTGTCCCTACTACCTTTTAGATTCTCAAGTAGGATGTGTAATTCCCGCAGCCTCAGGTACTGGGATCCAAGGGACTATAGTTTAGGAATACAGCAGTGGGGTAACTATTACTTCTTAATTTTCTGCAGTAAGCCCTGTAAAAGATAACTTTGGGGGACAGAAGGGTGCTCTAAGGGCGTAAAAAAAGAACCTTACAAAATGACTATAACTTAAAAACGGTGAAATGCTTTATAGGAATTAGATCCTAAGTAAGAGCAAGGTGTTCCTTGGTATAGCAGCCCAAGTCGGTTATTTTAGTTGTCATAGGAGGAATTGTTTAAAGTCCTTAAAGAAAGTACAGATAAGCATTAGTAGAGGTGCTAATTCATTAAACAGTGATAACAGGTTATTGGATTCTATTTTGAGAAACATCTAAGCCACTTGGTGTTGGGAAGATAGTTTACTTCAAGGGTAGTTGGTATACACTTTTATTTTGTAATTGGACAGGCTATATTCTGTTCATACTTTAGAATTGAAAGCAAGGTTACTTTCCTGGCTTTTCTCTTAAAAGTAAAATACTGGGAGAAACTTAAGAGGTCTGTTAATGCCAGTACATGTGACATTTAACATGTCATGGAAGCTATGCTTTGAAGAAATACTTGAGAAGGAATATATAATTGCCCCCTCCCCCTTTTTTTGTATGGATGGCCTTGGATTACACAGGGCTTAATTACATTTTTAGAAAATAACTTGCCAATCTCAGACTGATAAAGTGGAACCCTTTTAAAAATAAAAATTGAAAGATGGCTCTTTGATTATTAATCACAGTGTAGTTAAGAGATTGGTTAAGGCAATAAAAACTTCGAAATGCTCAGAAATTTGTTGTAAATTGCTTCTGCAATCATTGATATATATAAAGCATGCTACTACTAATCAATTAGTTTTATGTATTAAGACCTATCAGCATGTCTTTTTTTTAAGTACCTGGTTGACTTGATTTTAAACTAACATGATGTTCTCTGTACCATTTAACATTTTTAAGACATTCTCCCCAAGCAAATTCTGTTGGAACCAAGTGTTTCCAGTTCTAGAAGCCTACTTCTAGAGTCTTCATATGAAATTTATAGTGGGCTTTAATGGGATTTTAATTTGCACTAAATTTTCCTTTTCTGAAAGATTATGTTCAAATTATAATGTAGTGCTTTTGTCTCACAATTAAACTCTTACAGCACTCATGCATTTTTTGCACTGTCTTTTTTTTTTTTTTTTTTTTTAAAGCTTTCCCCACTGGAATGAATACCTTGAATAACAGGTCTTGTTTTCTTAGTTGAAAAGGTAAGGCAACTACTATCATGTTTAAAATAAAAATCTTAAATGATGGGATCTTTTGAAAGATAGCTTATGTGTAATTGGTCAAATAGTATTGCAAGTTGAGTCACTGAATTTGGTAGGAGAAAAAAGTAATTTCCAGTTTTCCCCAAAATGTTCATGAGGAAGGATATTAAGAGTAGCAAGATTTAAAAGGGACTGTGCAGTCTTTGGCCTCTCCTGGATTTGCTGTTAAATGTAGTGAGACCACTAAAAGTGCTGGTGGTCATTTACTATTTACGCACTTTTATAAATTTTTCAGAAAATGGCAAATGGAATTAGATGTGTGTAATAGTGACAGCATTAACCAAGGTACTTAGGCTTTCTCTGTAAGCCTAACAATATTGTGTGTCCCCTGAGAACTTGAAGGAATACGGGTCACTCATGGGGCTGGCCTGCCAAGAGAGAGGGTGCAGTTATGGCAGGTCATGGTGTGCTGAGCAGGTCTACTCTATAAACAAAGGGTCTGGAACCAGATTGTGATTTGCCTTTTTGTTCTAAAAATCAGGATGGAATTAAAACAGTTGGTTTTGTTATTCTAGGTTTTGCTATTTTATAATGACATAATACGAACTTTTGAAACAAGTTAAAAATAATCCTTTTCAGATTTATTAAAATGTGTGGGACATTCTATTTAGCAGATTTAAAAAAAAAATTCTAGTTTAATCTAGTCAAGAAATAGGTTATTTCAAGTAAGTAGTTCTGAGGTCCAGCTGTCATTTGCCCTGTGATGGGGAAATAAAATTTAACTTCTCCAGGCATCAGTTTTTCCAACTAAAATATCTCCCTTGGGTATGGACATTGATAAGTTACGTGCAAAGTGTGCTTTGAGGTTAGTAATTTTCAACTTCATTGTGGGGTTGTATACACTTTGAGGGCCCATCCCAGCCTTAAGCACAATGTTCAGGGTTGGAGCCCAGGCCTCTATTATGATCCCTACCTTGTTTCTACAAAAATAAGACCTAGCCATAGAATAAGCTGTAGCATGATTCCTCCAGGATATGGAGGGCACGCACCCCTCACATGAGGGTTTTATGACCTGTTTCAGGGAGAAGGGTGCCTTTTCCACAAACTCCTTCAGCTTAAAATATTCAGTATGCCAAGGTGCCGTATTACGGCACCTAAAATCATGCAAGGGCTTATTTTCGGGGAAAAGGTAGTTGGGGGTTGAAAGCCAGAGCTTCATATTTATTGCAATGACTTGAGGAAATACAGAAATCAGGCATATGAAAAAGGACCAAACGTTAACGCCTGTATGTGCTGGGCAGTGTGAACACGAAGAGCATAGTGTAGCCCAACGTGAGTAACGGGTCCACCATGAGGCGGTGAGGGCCCTTTCTGAAGTTTGCCTGGCCACCTGCAGGGACTCCCTGCTTTCTGTAACTTCCGGGCTTCTCTGGTGGTGAACCTTCTGGAGGGTTGACGTAGAAGTCCTGTGATTTTGGTGAGTAAATTTGGGAAGGTGAGGACAAGACAGTTCTAGATTGCACTGTGATTCCCTTGATACAGGAAATAAGGCCAAATAAGCAGTTTTGTGGGGAAAGAAGGAAGAACATAGTTTTGGGATTTAAAATTTGAGTGTTTGCATGATGCCCAAGTGGGTGTGTCCAGTAGAAAGTTGGGAAATGAAGAGAACCAAGACAGCTCTGCTGACGGCCGTTTGAATGAAGGAATGATTGTGTGATGGAACTCCCCAGGCCTGCACTACCTTCTGCATCCGCACAGCAAGCAGTGTCTTGGTTTGTTGGTCCTTTCCTCTAACTAGTCCAGTGGACTCGGGCAAGTGACAACTTGTGCTTCAGTTTTCTCATCTGTAAAATGGAAACAATTTTAATACCTACCTCACAACTGTGAGGGTTAAATAAGAATCTCTAAAGTATTTAAATAGTTACTGGCACATAATAAGTGCTTAATAACATAATTGTTACTGTTGACTGCCTTTCAATTGAGATAAATTGGGTTTCTAATAAGATCCAATGCCCATCCCACTTAAAACCCATGAAATCTTCCTCAGCTACCACAGCTCGTGGTGATCATTATCTTTCCTGAATTTATTCTCTATCGATGCACCACTGAACTAAATGTTTTAACATTCTTAGGATTTTTATTTGTCTTGCTTCCTCAACTGGAATGTAAACTTCCCTTAGGGATTAGGACCATTTTGTATACTTCTATATACATTCATGAATTTCTCAAACATCCGTTATTCTATTAATGTGGCAACTTAGAATAAATCCTAATGTTTTGGTGGATTTGGAGCTCTACATTTGAAAGCATAAATTAATGAAAAATCTTAAGATTGCCTTAATATTGGGTTGTCAGAAAAGTCATGACACATGTTTGCAATGAAAAACAGAAAAAATAAGTGATGACTTTTCCAACAACCCAATATTTGTTTCTTTCTACTCAGTTATGTTCCTAGATGTAGCATGACTGGGAAACACCCTTTACTAAAGGAGCATTTTGTTTGTTTTTATTTTTACTTCTTCCTGGTAGCTTTCAACAGTTCATAAAAATGCAAGTCATCCTGAAAATTCTTAAGACTACCTAGGAAAACAGGCATTACATGGATTTGCTGCCTGGAAGCAGGTGATAGCCTGTGCTTTAAACATGCTGCAAGGAGAGGGGGCTTGCAAAGGCACATTCTTCATTTTTAGACTTCTGGTCTTGGCATCCTAATATGTACAATTGGGGGCTACATTAGGTATTTTTAAGTTTGATGTTTTCTAGCAATAGGTTTGCTAGTATTCAATGGCAACCAGAATACAAATATATTGTTTTATACATAGTTACAAATTGTAGAAATGTTAGGCAAATTTTATAGAGCTTCAAAAATAATGGCAGCAAAATACATGATAATATCTCTTCTCACAATACTCTTTAAATTCCTTTCTCTACTCCCCAGAAACAATCTATCAACCTGGGAAAAAGCAAAATGTACTGATGTGTCCTGTCTGGCCCATAATAAAGGAGTCAGATAATATACTCTTAACTAAACATGGGCTTTATGGTCATATACCACAGTCAGTACTTGAATCAGTAAAATCTCAGCTTCCTAGCTGCTTGATCTTGGACATGCCATTTAACTTTGCTTTTTTCTTATCTGAAAAGTAAAGATCATATGAACTAACATTTTCATAGCACTTAATGAAATGTCAGCCTGTTCTGTGTGCTTTACATTATGCTTAGTTTTCGCCTCTTCATGTCTTTGTATAATTAAATGACACCCATTCCCCCAAAGCACTTAGTACATTGAATCAGAGTAGATATTCAGTAGATCACCTATTTTTTTCCTGGGTATAAATTACAGAAACTCCAAAGTTTCTAACATTTAAAATCCTTTAAAAAAATATTTTGTGAATGGAAAGGTGATACTGTGCTATCTGTCTATTTAAAAACATACTCGATCATTATCAGAATTAAAATAGTTATCTAGCAGGAAGGAATCACGTTCTCATCTTTTATTTTTCGCCATGGATCACTAAATGATTTTTAAAACCAACTTTAGGCCTCAGGTTCCCGTATACGAAATAGAACTCATGAAACATCATTACAAATGGCAAAGTAAAGTTGCATGCTTTGGTTATTAGAAACCTTAGTGATTTGAAGTTAACAGATGCAGTGTATCACTAAAAAAAAAAAAGGGCTGTTACGATGGCAAGATAGGAAGACAGGATCTATGATGTATTAGAGAAATGATAACAGCTTCCCAATTTTTTATCCTTACTCAAGGAAATGCCTAATATAAAACACAATGGTTTGGATTTTCATTTCAAATGGAAGAATAAGAAGTGAATGTGTAGCTCTGGACTGGACTCATGTTCAGATTCTTATATTTCTAAGGAAATTTTAAGGTCAAGATCATTTCTGAGTAAGGAAGCAGTAATATAAGGGATTTAACCAATGCCATTAATGCTATCATCTTTCAGTAATAGTTAACACTTAAATAACATTTACTGTGTGGTAGATGTAACAAAATTCCATGTGGTGTTATCATTAGCTCCATTTTACAGATGAGGAAATGGGCACAGGTTAACTAGCTTGTCCAAAGTCACGTAGATGGTACGTGGCAGAGCAGAGAGTTGAACCTTGGCAGTGTGATTCCAGGGTTTGTGCTCTTAATGAAAAGGGGGGCTGAGGAAATGGTGGAGCAGTGGAAAAAAAACACACCAGGTTATACAAAATGGAAGAGGTACAAAAGTCAAGGGACACTAAAGGGACAAGGAAATAATTCCAACTGCCTCTTCCTCCAGTCCTACCTACCACTAGAGAATGCTTTCATAATTGTTGGTTGTAGAACTCTGTAATTACATATAAAAATTTATTGGGACCTGTTGGGAATGGGAAGAAGGGTCAGGTTGGTATTACATTTGTACTTAGAAGAATGATGATGATTGAAAGGAGAATTGCCATGGAGATGATTATAATCTTTTTGAAATGTTTCCACCATATCCTCTTAAGAATCTTTCTTGTTTTGGAATCTTTGGCCTGAAATAAAAATAAACATAGGTTTAATGTTTTCGTTTCTGGGTTAATGGGCACACTCCAATATTTATTAGAGCTCTCTAAAAGAACAGATTTCGTTTGGGTTTGACTCTCAATAGAGCTGAACAGCTTTTATAAAATGATGCACCAAGAATCCAGGTGTCTGCCTTACTTTGTTCAGCTGTACTTTTATTAGCTTTATTAACTTTGTGACCTTGAACAAGTTACTAATGCTTTGAGCCTCAGTTTCCTCATCTTTACTTCATGATTTTACTTAAATGCCACTGTCCCTTACAGCCCTATTTAAGTTTGCAACCCTCATATCTACATCCCAGAAGCCCTATTTCCCTTCAATACATTATTTTTCTCCAAAGTACTTATCAAACATTATGTAAATTTTCTTTATTCTTTGTTGAGAATGTAAGTTCTAGGAAGGCAGGGATTTTTGTCTGTTTCATTCACTGTTACATTCACAACAGTGCACAATATAGGACTGGTGTTCAATTAATGTTTGTTGAATTAATGAGTAAATACATTTATAAAATGGGAATAATGGTATCTGTCATATAGTAGCCCAGATAGGATTAACTGATAATGAATATAGTACATCTAGTTCACTGTATAAGAATAAATTATGCCATCATTATAATTAATATTTTTGGTGAAAGATGGCTTTTGTTAAGTACTTTATGATACAAAAACATTTCATATCATAACCTAATTACAAACCTAAATAAAACAGCTCACTTTTATTAACATGCACAAAATTATTGACAGAACTCAAGCAGCAGTGGGAAGAAATGAAACAAGGCCACACAAAATTGTAAAATTATTTTTATTTTTTTTCTGTGAGAAGCTTTGTTGTTTCCATTTGGCCCACTCTATTTTGTTTTTTAAATCCATATGGCTGCTTCTCATATCGCCATGATACAAATAAAATGCTAGGTGCTTATGTGGACTTCTGCTGTCTGCCACTTGGATAAGAAGTAAAAATGCAACATGTTTATTTGTGCATCAGATCAGCTTCTTTACTCTCAGTATATACAATGACTTTCCAAGAGCAAAGTCAAGGTACATGATTACAGTGAATACTATAAATAGCAGATGTCCCATTATGCTACTCAGATGGCCTCACAACTCTAATGTATGACAAGCTATGGGAGTATGGGAGCCCCAGGTTTATATAACCAAGATGCTGTTGGTTATTCCCAAGGATCTTGCACATGGAAGCTAGTGACTAGGTCAGCATTCCAGGATGTTGTATTTTATTGAATGCTTTAAATGCAGGTACTATATGACACACATTATATGTATTTTTGCATCATAATATGCAATACTCAAAATAATCTTGGGTGAGTATTATTCCTATTTTACAGTGTTGAAGAAAATGAGGCTCATAGGTTTTAAGTTTTAAGGTTACACAGCTAGTAAGTGGTGGTGCTGGAATTTAAATCTAGAATTGCGTGACGATACTGCCTTGTGTAGGAACATTTAGTTAAGGTACAAGCGGACTTGACCTTCTTAGATTATTTGCTTTCTCTTTTATTAATGTAATACACATATATAGTTAGGAAAGTCAGAATTCTATAAGGCTTATGAGGAAAAACAGCCTTCTCCCGCCCTACTTCTTCCCACCCTGGTCCTATTTTTAGAGGTAATCACTCTCAGCTCTTTTTGTCTGTTTTGCTCAGTTGCTTTATCCCTATTGCTTGGAACAGTGGTTCTCAACTAGGGGCGATTTTGCCCTCCAGGGGACATTTGGCAATGCCTGGAGACATTTTGATTGTTGTGACTGGAGGAGGTGCCACTGGCATCTAATGTGCAGAAGCCAGAGATGCTGTCAAACATCCCACAATGCACAGGACAGTCTCCCTACCTCCACCCCACCCCCTAACAAAACAAATAAGTACCCAATCCAAAATGTGCCAAGGCTGAGAAACCCTGACCTAGAACAGTGCCTGACACATAGTGGGTGCTCAATAAATATTGGTTGAATGTACCTCATTTAGCTGTTTATTTTCCCCTGGTGTTTGTTTTCTTTTGCATTACTAGAAAGCATACATATATATTTCTTGAGTTTTCTGTTTCCAACTATGGAAAAGAGGCTATAACTCTTACCATATCCCCAAACCTTCCTTCCCCAAACACACACCTTTCCTTTCTTTCCTATCTTCTCTTTTTGTTTAACTAACACATTGTAAATATTCGCTGAGCCATGGAGTATATTCAGGTTGCAGATTTTCACTGAGTCTATCTGCTTTTATTATGATGGTCACTCTGGCCTCAACTGCACCTGGTGTCTAAGTTAAAGACATCTTTGGTCTACTGTCTTTAGATAATAGAATTTATTATCCTTTATCAGGGATAAGGAGAGGAAGCAATGTGGCTGTGAAGAGTAGGGAAGCGGCTACAGGTAACATGTTCCTTTTAAAGACTTTATACCTACTCTCTTCTTTCTAGGCCTTACTGCATTGCATGTCTTCTTTTAGATGTACCATGTGTCTCCAATTTCTGATCCTTTCCAAGGTCCTATGGCCTGGATCAGTTTGCATCTTACTGTCTTCTCCTGCTTACAAGCTTATTTTCAAGCTTATACTGCTCTATCTGGGACTAATAATTACTGATAATCCATTTTCTAGCTTCCCAAATTGTTGACAGTTCTTACGTGTTGTCTTTTTCTCTTGTTTTTTATCCTAGTGGTTTATACATTGAAATCCCTAATTATTGTTTTATATATCATTTTATTAGAGTTTTGAGAGGATATCAAGATAAATGTATATTTTTATTCTGCCAAGTTAGAATCCATGACCCATACTTATCTGTACACTGGCTGACAGAAAGCTTATTGGTCTCTTTTTGTTAAAAACCAAATCTGCTTTTTAAGAACATTCAGTAGAGTCTTTTAGGAAAAGACAGGGAGAAAACTAATATAGCTAGGCAAAAATAGAAGGTTTAGTGAGAATGATTATGTGCTGTGTGAATATAATGTGAGAAAAACTGTAAAATACTTCAAATTTCATCATTTATTGAGCTGCTTCTACTCAACTGGCTTCAAAGAGGAAGTCATTTTTTTCTCCATGTAATCATGAAAATACAATGTATACATAAAAATGGGATTTGTTTGGAAAGTAAGGCAGTAAATAAGTTTTCTTAAAAAAAATTTTTTTTTTTTGCTATAATTTTACGGGATTTAGATGTCACTTTTCCCATAAGAAACACACACATATAATCTAATAAAAAAATAATGGGTCTGGTGATATGGTGGATTATGTAACCCCATAATCCTGGCACTATTATTAATCAGAAATGTTACATAAAATATAAGAAGCAAATATTTAAGTGCATAGTTGAACTTGAAAGAAATTAAGAGCAAGGCCAGGTGCAGGAACCTAGGAAAGCAGTGAGAAGTTGCACTGATGGTGCAGCTCCTCTGGATTTGGGAGGGTGATGACGCTGGCCTTTGTCACCCAGGGTTTAGGATTTCAGTGCTCACAGGGACAGCAGGAGAACCTGTGGGCTCACAGGAAGAGAGTGATGGGACTGTATGGAATTTCCATCCTTCCTGTTAACTGGGCTTGAAGCTTTGGAGTCTTCCTTGACTCGCTCACCACACATCCAATCTGTCAGCAACTCCAATTTGTTCTATCTTCAAAATATATCCACAATCCAACTACTTCTCGACATTTATACTGCAGTCAATATTCATTTAGTGTTACCAATGCTGGTACCACTTTCTTTGCTCTTTATTTCTTGCTGAAACTCAAAATTTTCATCTGAGGTCATTTTTAATCTACTGATAGACTTCCTTTAGAATTTCCTTTAGTGCAGATGTGATAAAGTGAAGACCTGAGTTCCCCTTCCATAATGTAGCGTTATCGCTAGCAAGAGACGCTCCAATCACAGACCACATTTCTCAGGCCCCTCACCCACCCCATATGTGCCCCTCTCCACCCCTTGCATGTACAAAAAGCTATAAGACTAATTCTTACCAACAGATTGCGAGTAGAAGTGATGGGTGTCACTTTGGGGCTGAAATGGCTATAAGCACGTATGTTTCCTCTATTCCCTGTTTAACCAACTGCCACCTGAAACTGAAAGACTCTCAGGCCCAAGGCAATGGCAGCGTCACAAAAAAGAAAAAGCTTAGGTTCCTGGGTTACCATGTGGAAGTCTGCCCATGGAAAAACCTGCCTTAGATGGTTATACACCCGAGAAAATCCTCTATTGAATTTAAAACACTGAAAACTTGAGGTATGTTGTTACAGCTAGTGTTTCTCTAATATTGAAATTGGTAGTAGGATGAGATATTGTTATTACAAAACTCTAAAACATGTGGCATTGGCCTAACCATCAAGTGTAGGCTGTGAAGAAACTGATACTAAAGGCTGGAAAGATAAAGCCTATGCTCTGGAGGGTAAAATATTTGCTAAAACTATCACCCGTGATAACTTCGAAAGCAGACAAAGCACCTACTGAGCCTGTCACTTTAGAAGAAAAGCTTGGAAACAGAATGGTAGTAGTGTGAGTCCTTGTTCCTGGCTGCATTTAGCCAGGCAACAATTGATTGGTTTGCAAGAGACATGAAAAGGAATAGAGAGGATGCAGAAATGTGGAACACTAAAAGGTTAGAACGCTGATGGCTTTTTTGCCCAAACAAGATGAAATAAGATTGAAAAGGTCTTTTAATGACAAATGGCCATAAGCTACTGCCTTTCTTCAATAACAAAAAACCCCCAAACCTATTAAAAAATGAACCAAGGACCTGAATAGATTTTCTCCAAAGAATAATATACAAATGGTTAATAAGCACATGAAAAAATGCTCAACATCATTTAGTCGTTAAAGAAGTTCAAATCAAAATGAGCTACTATGTCATACCCAGTAGGATGGCTATAATTTAAAAAAATGGAAAATAAGTGTTGGAGAGGATGTGGAAAAATTAGAGCCCTCTTCCATTTACTGGTGGGAATGTAAAATGGTTCAACCACTGTGGAATACAGTTT